AACAGTCGAACCCAGAAGAGATTTTGGAGGGTTACATCCAATATTTCCCTTTTTAAATTTATATTTTTTTAAGATTTTATTTATTTATTTATTTATTCATGAGAGACATACAGAGAGAGAGAGAGAGAGAGAGAGGTAGAGACACAGGCAGAGGGAGAAGCAGGCTCCACACAGGGAGCACAATGTGGAACTCAATCCCCGGTCTTCAGGATCACACCCTGGGCTGAAGGCGGTGCTAAACCGCTGAGCCACCCCGGCTGCCCTATTTCCCGTTTTTAAAACCAGATCTTAAAGCTTTCTGATCCTTGTCTCCATTTCTCATTTTACAGGTCTTTGGAAATGTATCTATAAAATGCATTCATTCCTTATCGATCCCTGCAACCTACAAAAGAGTGTGTGAGATACTACAAAGTCAGCAATAATTGCCACAGTCCTTTAGTCTACAGACACAGATAGTCTTTTAGGAGATGTAGATAAAGTAGATTATAATATGAGACCAGAGGGCACACCAGTAATGTGAGAATACGCAAAAGTGGTACATAATGTGGACTTGGGTGGAGGGTAGTCTATAAATACTTCCTGAAGGATGCAGCACCTGAACTGTGAGATCTAAAAGATGAGGGTGACTGAGTTGAGTTAGGTCTGTGTGCAGAGGGCTCTGCCAAAATATGCCTATAGAAGCTTGACAGAAAAGAGGCATTTTCCCTATTCTTAATTTGCTGAAGATCATTTGGTATGAGTGAGCAGTAGTTTGTGTGAGCGTGTGTGTGCACACATGCACATCAGTGCCATAGTAAAAATTGGTTTGGAGAAGAATGGAGAGGCAATGTTAATACTCTGTACCAGGCAATGTTGCAAGTAGTTTTTATATGAGGTGTTTATTCCTCATAACAAACCTAGGAAAAAGGTATAGCATCATAATCTCCACTTTATATACAAGGAAAAAGAGACATACAGAGCCTACGTGACTTCTTCAAGTTCCCAGAACTAGTGAGTGACACAGGTGGGACTTGAACTCCAGCCAGTGTGACATGAGAAGCATGGTCCTTGGATAAATATTATCAGCTTCACCAGGAAGCTGGTTAGAAATGTAAATACTCAGGCATCAACCCAGACCTACAGAACCAGAATCTGCATTTTAACAAAGACCAGGTCCTATCTGAGCTCCTTAACCTCTGAAGAGATCTATTTTAATCCCCTATGCTGTTGTTTCTCCTTAACCTTGAGAAGGAATCTGGACATTATCTTAAGGCCAATAGGGAGTCAAGGGAAAGTGTGAAGTGAGAGGTTGGCAAAATTACATGTGTGTTTAGCCCTATTGTTGTAGGTCAATCGTTCTGGCTTCAGAAAGGAGAATGAAGTAGAAGAGGACAATTCTGGGGCAAGGAGACCAGTGAAAGGGCTACTGTTCACCAAGTGAAGGAAGATGGCAGCCTGAAATCAGACGGTGGTAGTGACAGGAGAAGTGTAGGAGAATGCCCAACGCAGCCTTGCCAGAACTTGGAAGATGCTTTGGGTCTCCAAAGATATCTAAGTTGTGGGAGGGTAGGAGTTAGTTCCCCCAAGTTTCTGGCTTGAGCAACTGATTTCATCATGGTGTCATTTACTATATAAGAGTCTACTGGAGGGAAGTAAGGTAGGGGGTAGGAGAGGAAAATGATGAATTTAGTTTTAGATTAAATCATGAGATTTGAGACTTTGGGGCAGCTAAGTAGAGCTGTTTAGCCAGGTCCTAAAAGTGCACTGGAAACCATAAAAAATGGCAGAGAAACCATGTAACTTAATTGAGCAAGTTGGAAGGGGTCTTAGGGCAAGTCCTGGTTGTCCCTGATGTTCCTCCCTCCTCCTCCATTTTGCTCACTGGAATCCAAGCCTCCTCTGGGTAGTTGTAGTTCTGTATCCAGCGGACAATAGCTCAGAGAAAATATCTCAGATCTAGATTTTGGATTCATTAGCCTATAGAACAGATGATAACTGAGGCAATGGGACTGTCCAGAAAGAGAAAAGGAGTCCAGGATACAGAAGAGGAGAAGGGGAATCTGCACAATAGACCGAGAAGGGTGGTCTTGGTAGGAGAGAACCAAGAGTTTGGGATCATGGAAGCTCTGTGTCGAGAGTGTCTCAAGGTGTGGAAAGTGGGTTAAATTGATTTGAGACACTGAATAGATAACGGGAAATGTCTGCTGGATATAGCGATATGCTAGTGATTGATAAGCTCCATGAGAGCTGGGGAAAACTGGTGAGGATGAAGCAGACTGCAATAGACTGAGAAGTGGGACTCAAGAAGAGGTAGAGATTAATAGAGTGTAGACAACCCTTCAGGAGATTGATCTATGAAGCTGAGGGAGAGAACTGGAGGAGCTCAGTAATGAAGCAGAGGCGTTTTAAGACAGGAAATGTGAGCATGTTTAAGTGCTGATGGAAGGAGCCAATAAAGAAGGGAAGGTTAAAGACTGTGAGCCCTGAAGAGAGGGTGTGAGGTAACAGGTACCTGTTTAGATCTTTCCTTTTATGTTCCAGTAGGCAGGTATGGAGATTGGGAGGATGATCAGAGAAACAGGAAGACCTCTCTGCAGCTATCTATTCCACAGTCTGGGGTCTTCAGTGGGTTAATCCTATCACCCTTCCATCCTAAGCCTTGCTGTCTACAAAAGGAATTGTTCTACTACTTGAAGACTCCACTTTTATTTCCATGACACACAGTATGGCCATGAATGAACTAAGCACCTGCTTTAAAAATTAACCCTTAATCTAAAATCCTCGCCTTAGCCTTACCTGTCTTTGGATGAGGACAGTTTAGAGAGACAGTTGAGGTGTATTTCCACCTTAACCTTTTTAAAGATTTGGTGAACCCCCACACTGGCACCAAGGTATGCCTGAAGCTGAGGTTTCTGGCTTCACAGAAAACAGTGGTTCATAATCAGGACCCCAGAGAATACTTGAGGGCAGATTTCAGGAGTCTATCAACCCCACAAATGTCATTAAAAAATCTATTTGCAATAGGCATTTTTGTTGTTTTGTTTTGTCATATTCTTAAGGGCATCTGTAGTCTGTGGAGATAGATAAATGCTCAAACTGATCATTTCCAGGGGATCAAAAGGTAACCAAGAAAAATGATGACAGAGAGGAAAAAGACAATTACAAGAACACGGAAATACATGTTAGTTTAACTGACATCTGACTCAGAACTTTCCATGTGAACCCAAGTATCTGGTTTTCAATTCTAAAGAATCATATTTCCTAGATTGAAAACATAAGAAACAAATCAGGGATCCCTGGGTGGCGCAGCGGTTTGGCGCCTGCCTTTGGCCCAGGGCGCGATCCTGGAGACCCGGGATCGAATCCCACGTCGGGCTCCCGGTGCATGGAGCCTGCTTCTCCCTCTGCCTGTGTCTCTGCCTCTCTCTCTCTCACTGTGTGCCTATCATAAATAAATAAAATAAAATAAAAAAAAATTAAAAAAAAAAAATTTAAAAAAAAAAAAAAAAAAAAAAAAAAAGAAACAAATCAAAGTTCTTCCAATGTGTTCTAGAAGAACATTTATTTTCAATATTACAGTAGAAAGTGACGAGGCTTGCCTAAGGAACCCAAATTAATCCACCTTTTTTCAAAACGTTGTTGGCAAGTATAATAAAAATGAGAGGTAAACTTGTCAGTGAGGTGATGTGACATTAAAATGCAAATGTGCTGCTCTTAGGTAGGGAGGACAGGCTCAGAATTGGCAACTAATGATAACATGTGGAAATAAATAGAGCAAGTGTGGAAAACAGACATCGGAGTTTACCTTCCCCATCAAACAATTTGGATCATGGCTGCAGGCATATATCATAACAAATATGTTACGAAATACCTTGTTTGACACATGTTCGCAGTATTTGTGTTAAATATTAATCTATAGCCTTCACTAATGAAAATGCTAGCATTTATACAGGATGATATTGTGGATGTGAAATGACAGCTAAAATGACTTGAGGGTTTTCTTACGTTTTATTTATAAGGGTTACACATTTTACTAATGATGTTTTTTTAGTTTCCACATTTTTGAACCTCAAACTGACAGCTGAGGAGTTGCATTCACTTTTCAAATGGCTGGCAGACAGTAAAGAGGGCCTGACTAAAAACTGGTGAGGGAGAAAGTGTAAACATGTGGGATGCGTGTTTTTGCTGAAGTTACACTGTTCGCTTCAAGAAGCAATGCTTTTGGGATACCTGGGCGGCTCAGCAGTTGAGCGTCTGCCTTTGGCTCAGGTCGTGATCCCGGGTCCTGGGATCGAGTCCCCCTGAGGGAGCCTGCTTCTCCCTCTGCCTATGTCTGCCTCTCTCTGTGTGCCTCTCATGAATAATTAAAAAAAAAAAAAAGCAATGCTTTCGATTCCTATAACACATTATGTATTTGTGTTGGTCAGACACACAGATATTTATTTCACTGCAGTCTTCGAAAACCTCATAGTAGGTACGGTCTTTAAGCCTGCATCTGGAAAGTAGGTGGATTTTTCTTGACGATAGCAGGATTCTCACTAACTCACTTAAAAACTGTAAGTGATTTCGAATGTACTCTGGATATATAGACTCAGCCATAAAATAACTGCAGTAATAAAGTTAGTCATTTAAATAAATTAAGCCAAATAAGTCCCCAGAATCCTGCCACCCCCTTTTTTGGCAACAAAGGTATACCCCCATGTATAAAGACCATTTTCACAACATAGGAGGCAACTCTAAAGAGTTATCTGACCACTATGCGGCCTCCGCATACATATATTATTGAAATGAGAAATCTGAAAAGCTCAGCTTATAAAATTTGACAACTGCTGGCTCAACTGACTTTTGAAAAGTTTCTGAAAAACTTTGACATACGCACTTACTTGCCAAGGAAACATTTTCTCATAAGCAGTCACTAGAAAGTCTATAAGGATGTCTCATACTTAAAAAATAAAATTAAAGCCGAAATACCATCTAAAGAAACACAAAGGAAACATTACAGAAAAGAAAACAAAACTTACTTTTTCTTGAGGCTGCTTTTTCCTGTGATTTAAAGAGTATGAAAGAAGAATATGCGATGATTATTTTTTTTTTCCTCCAGCACATTTAAATGTCAACTCCAAAAGGAACAGAATGGACCACCAGAACTATCTGAGGGTGCCTCCCAATTGCAGCCTTTTCAGCTTTGCAGAAGGAAATAGGAGGGTGAGTGGGTTTCCTCCAAGTCTTGTGATATGCACATAGCTGACTCCTACTGGGCTGAAAAAGCACTCCTTGTCAATTTTTACTTTGAGTTGTAACAAATTCTCTGCAGGATATCCTTAAAGGGAAATCCTGCCAAAATTAGTATTTGGAGTATCTGGATAAGCTCCAAAAAGTTTAAAATACAAAGTGCATATACAGACAACTCATATACATGCTCAAATTTCCACTACCTAGGCTAAATTAAGGGCATATTTAAATTTTTAAAAAATTTCAAAAAGATGCTGTATTTTCTTTTTCCTTGATTTAAAAAAATTTTTTTGTTTTGTTTTCTGGTAACTCTCTGAACCTATCTTTTAGGTTAGAAATGGTTGCAGTAGAGTTTTCCAGTTGAACCATCTGGAAAGAGAGGAGACCCCATGTTCTTACCTGCAGAATTTCTGGTAGCTTGAGAGAGAAGCCCTGGGTTGTGGCCCCTATCACTGCCTTCATGGGAAGTTTGGGAACTTTGAGCCTTGGATTTGACTAGAATAACTCCAGGTATTTACCTGCTTCCTGAACCTGCACTGTGGACTCACCGTTGCCTGCTTCTGCCTATTGCCCTATGAGCTGGCAACAATTGTTACGTCACGGCATGGCTGTGTGACTTCATTTAAGCAGAGACTTGGTCTTGTGAAATCTTCAATTAAAAAAATAAAAAGTGGATAGAGATTTCGAGAGTTGGATCTAAAGAAATGTTTGAATCCTGAACTAATCCAGAATACGTTGGTCAATTTGATCCATAAAGCAAATGACGTTGGCTCCTGGACTCTACTTGAGGCTGTCTCTTCGTTTTGTAAGATGAGGTGAGAGAAGAAATGTTCTGCCTTAAATTCATTTATTCCCAGACAAAAGCTGTTCTTATTCAAAGTGCTAATGGGAGTATATACTAATATTTTATGAGATCGAACTCAGGTATATACAATAAAAAATACCTTGAGTTAGGGAAATGCAAAACCGGTTGACTGTGTGCATTGCTCTTCACCTGAATTTGATGATTAAGATATGAAAATAAAAAAAAAAACTGGTGAGCAGCAACCACAGATTGATGCAGTGAAAGGACACAAGTATGTTCAACTAGTAATAGATTCTGATCCTCATGATACTATTGCAGGCATTATTTTTATCCTTTCATAGGTGAGGAAGTGGAGTCCTGGAGATATAAAATTGCATATGTTCCCATCTAATTATGGGGCCATTGCCCTCGTTTACGCCTGTGCTCCCTAAGAGGGTGATCTACATTCACTGATAAAACTTCTAATCCTCCTGTTTCCTCCTCAGACAGTTCCAGAGGTCTTCTACCTGGACCACTTCACCAAAAACTTCATGATTAAGTTCATCAAAAGGTCTTAATCGGCACTCTCAAGGGCACTGTCATTAAGCTTACCTGAAATTTCTCATTTCTGGACACGTCTGTTTCTTCTTTGAAATTTGCCCTTGGTTCACTAAGTTGCACTGATTTCCTCCTTGCACTCACCATCCCGAGCCTCCTCTCCCTTTATTCATCTCACCCTTCCCCAGAGCTTCCTCCACAGTTGAGTGTGCCTCTCTGTGCACTGACCATTGCGTTCCTTAAGGGGACCATTAGTAATGATAGGACTCCCACACCTGTACTCTCAATCGTTATCACTAAGATCCCAGACCTATATCCTGTTGTCTGTTGGCCTTTGTCTTCAGGTCCTCAGGCACCTCAAACTGGAAAGTCCCTAACAAACCACCTTCTTCACCCCACTCTAAAAACCTGCTGGTCTGCTGGAGTTCCTCTCTCAGGGTATGACAGAGTCATCCAAGCCATCATCTTAGACTGTCCTGACTCATTCTCCACCAACCTCATTCATCCCCATCCTCAACTTCTGCTGGTGCTACTTCGTTAGATCTCCCTCAAATTTGTCATTGTCCCTGCATTCTGGTCCTCATATTTCTCACTTGGATTACTTTATCAGTCCTAAAATGATTGGTATCTGCCTCAGTTTGGTCCCCTTCTGTCATTTTGTTACATGACACTGTAAAACAATATTTTAAAATACCAGTTTATCAAATTTATAATTTGATACATGCTTCTTGCAGAAAACCTGTAATAAGAATTGAAAAATAAAGAAAACTTAAAATGACTTGCAATCTAAGAGACAGTCACAACCCAAATCTTAGCCCAAATCTCTTTAGAGTATTTTGTATGCACGCATAGAACTATACAACGAAATGTTTGTGTAAATGTATTTATGCAAATGTTTATACAGTATATTTAATTAGAAAACCAAGACCACATTAGATATAGTTCTGCATCCTCTTTCACTTAATATACTGTGAATGACTTCCCAAATCTAACATTTTTAAAGTGGTTGTGAATAAAGGCTACAATATAATGAAACACATGAAATATATTCTGGAATAGTCATCTTCTGTTTCCTTCAACATCAAAACTAACCCTGAGCGTTTATAATGTATGAATCACAAGGACTTAGATTTCCGCAAGAAAGGGGGAAGGAGAAAAATACACAACACTCATTTTGAGCTAATTTCCATTGATTAGATATTAAACTACTATGTATTCTTACTTACCATGTGTCCTGCCTTCAAGCAATTATCCAATCTCCAAGTCTATGTAACAGAGTGAAGTTAAAGGTACATTTTAGGTGAATAGACAGGCATAGTAGGAAAGCAATTTGATCAAGTGCTTTTTCTTCACGCTGAATGTCAAGAAACATGAAAGAAAACCCTTGGGACCTTTGTCTTAGCTTGGCTAGGCAGAGCAAGGGTTTTTTCTTTGGTGGACTGACCTCTGAATAAGCAAGAGTATTTCAGAGCCAAGAAGACCACCTCCCTTCTGTGCAAGACAGGTTGTCCATGCTCCTCTTCGATTACAGGCTGGGAAAAAAGATTTCCTCACATTAAGTTCACATTTTACCCATCAGACAGGAGAGAGACTGATTTCACAAATATTTTAAAGTTTTTGGTAAGTTGTCAAACTAACTTTGGGAATGGGTGGTTTTTCTAAATGACAAATCTAATTCCCTTCTTTTCCTGGTTAACGTAATTGTGAAAACGCTCCCCTTGTTTTCAGGAAAACTAACATTTTTCTTAGCGTACATATGAATTTCAGGATCTCTCTTGTCTCTTAGCTTCATCTTATACTACTTCCCCAGACCGTTTTTCATATTTCTCATACTTAGGGTTTCCCAAATGTCTATTTCATATTAGTTCATGTCTTAGCACTTCCAGATCTCTTCTCTCCCAGAAACACCTGCCTGCTCTCCATTCCCCTATTTTCGGGAGGCTAGTCCTACTTTTCTTTCAGGACTCAGTTCAGGTCATCTCTAGCCAGTTTAGTTCCCTCCCTGCTGTGCAAGACAGTTGACTTTCATTTCTTCCCCCACAGCAATCCCTGCTTACTTCTCTCAGAACCTTATTAGTTGTTGATCCTTGCCATCTCCTTGAAAACAAGGTGTAGGGGCAGCCCAGGTGGCTCAGCGGTTTAGTGCTGCCTTTGGCCCAGGTCATGATCCTGGAGACCTGAGATCGAGTCCCATGTCGGGGTCCCTGCATGGAGCCTGCTTCTCCCTTTGCCTCTCTTTCTATGTGTGTCTCTCATGAATGAATAAATAAAATCTTAAAAAAAAAAAAAAAAGAAAACAAGGTGTATTTTTTATGATTTACATTTATACTTTAGTACTTAGCAGTCAGACAGGATCCAGGAGATTGCTGAGCCAAGGATTTAAATTCACCAGGTCTCCCCTTTCTTTCATCACACCACAACATAATCCCTTCCTTCCTGGTTTTTAAACATGTGCCAAGGTTAAGTCCTACTACTAATCGCTGAAGAGAAATAGAGGTACAAATAGAGGCAAGGCTGGTAAAATAAAACACAACACTGAGAACTTATAAAAATTTAATACGTTTATAGTAATTATTCTTGTTTGGTGATGTAGATGGAATAAACATGGTTTTTGAAAGCTTGAAAGTCAAGTTTTCTTTTTTCTTTTTTTTGATGGTTTGGGATAAGTCTCTCTTGGTTTCTATTTATTTTTTGCTTAGTGCAGTCTTCAAGATAGAACAACTTGTGTGAATCCTTTGGCCATTTTATCTATTTTTTAAATTTTTTTAAATTTATTTATGATATCCTTTGGCCATTTTAATGGCCACTTTAATAGTGGCCCCAGATTTTCATGGAAAACGTACATCCCAGAGTTTACCTATGTGTGTTTCTTTCATCTCCCATATACACTAGAGTAAAGGCTTCACCGGTATTTGTCAAAGAAAGCAAATCTTCCTTTTGTCCCCACCCTCTACCCAACTCACAGGTTAGTTCTTGATAGGAAAAAGAAAAAACAAAATCCCATGTGGCCCTGGGTCAAGTAGCATTTCTGGGGAAGGAACTGTTTCTTCCCAATCTGTAGGCTGCACTAGCACTGTTGCACTTTGACCTCATCCTTGGTACTTTATGGTCTGACTAAAACATATTCTCTAAAAGGTTCAAGATGGTTCTATATTCAGGGTAAGCAACTTCTACACTTATTCCGATTCAATATCAATGTCTTTTCTGAAAATTCACTGTAATTTTGATAAGATATGCCACAGTTCACTGAATCCTTCTGAAGGCCAGAAGTGGATTTCCCTGGACTCTTCAGAAACACATGGTCTGGAGATGGAACACATTATTCAATGATCTCTATAGTATCTCCAACAGTAGAAAGTAGCAGATAGCTGCACATTTCCTGAAATCCAGCTAACTGAAAATGATTTACTAAGGTGAAATGGTTCATGAAAGACAAATGCTCAAGAGATGAGATACTGAGGACTATGGAACTATTTTTGTGTAAGAAAAATAAAATAAAATCTTTGAAAAATGTTCAGTATAAGAATTTTAAAATGTAAATATGTTACATATATGCACAATGCATTCTAGTAATTAAAATAATGGAAGCTTCAAAGTACTACAAA